GAAAGGAGAAAAGAATATAGTGTGAAATAACCCTGTGAAGGTCGCTTACGAGGCAGTAAGCCCAGAAACGAAGAAGAAATTGTGTTGAGCTCTATCTGGAGAAGTAAATTAGTTTGCTCATCCAACATATAATCCGAGCGATGTAGTCCTAATCGTATATCCTATAATAGACATATGTAAGCATTAGTATCGTTCGAAACCTCAAATTTTCGTCAAAATACATAGATAAACACTGATGAATTTTCGACATCAACCTGTCGAACATTCATCAAAAATCGACATATACAGGTCGAAAATGGTGAACGAAGAACCGACCCACGAATCTCAAATCAATGCTCAAATCGACTGAAATCAGATGCACCCATTACTAATTAACGATCATTCTAACCTAAAACAACCAAATCCTAATTACACATATCAAACAATCAAATCTTAAATAAATATTAAAGAAAAAAAAATCGAAACTATAACTTACTATTCAAAGACGACGACGGTGGCGGCTTTGGGCGACGTTGGGCGGCGTTCGGCGGTGTTTGGCGTCGGCGTCCGGCGGCGGCGATGGTTGGAGCGGCGGCGGCGGCGGCGGGCGGCGTGGGAGGGGTGGACGGAGGGAGGTTTGAAGGTTTGGCCGTTTTTTTTTTTTGTGTTTGATTTTTTTTTTCTTTTTTTTTATTTGGTTTTCAAATAGGTAATTTCAAAGAAAAATTGATGTAATTAATATTTTGTATGAAATGGTATTTTTGTACTTTTATTTTTATTTTGGTATTAAAGTAAGAAAAAACTTATAAATATGTACTCAATTGTGGTTTTCAATTTGGTAGTATTCAACTAAGCAAAAGTTGGGATTTAAAATAGTTGGCCCCGCCCTAAAATTCATCAATTTAAGTCCAAGAAATACTATGCGCCTAAAAAAATTCGTAACACGACACATAGTTGAGGGGATAATTGTGAATTATCAAACAAGAATGACATTTTCATAATTTGGCTATATAATATTATAAATTGACTTACATCAGCACATCATTTCGTCGTTGAACAGAATCTAAACATTAAGTCGTGATTATAGTTAATTAATTAAAGAAAGCTCATTTTTATTTTTATGTGATATAATTAAAAAAAATCCAATTAAGTCAAGTATAGTTGAAGGGTTGAAAATGCCAGCAAAAAAATATATATATTCAGATAATTAATTAGTGAAATAAATTGATTTGATTGGACAGAAGCTAAGGCACAGATTATGGGACACAAGTGTACTACAGTCTACAATTATTGATTTATTGATTGCACAATGATGGAACATTTCACCTGCTACCCAAGAAATAAAAAAATAATAATACTTATTATCCATATTATATTATGTATAATATGTGAAATATAATATTATTGGCTAAATTACAAATACACCCCTGATGTATGCTAAAATAATTTTAAGATTCCTGTAATATCGATAATTGCAATTACCCCCAGAAACATTGTTAGAAACCCTAACGGAATAATGCATTGGATAAGTTATTACATTAGGGTTCTAACGGCCTCTTAGTTTCAGACGGTGGTGAGACAACGTAGAGCTAAGGGGGTGACATGGTTCTCCCAATATTTTTTAAATCCGTATGTTTTATATAAAATTTATAAATTTTCGTATTAACAGCCCTGCGCTAAACAAATACGGCGCATATCGGTCCCCAGGATATGAAAGGTTGTCCCCGGTAATTGTTTCAGGGATGTGTTTGTAATTACCAATACTACAGGGAGAACTTAAAGTTATTTTAGTATACCTTAGGGGTTTAGGTGTAATTTAGCCTATATTATATATATTATATGTGAAATTAAAAAAAAAATCTTTATTTTATTTCTCAGAATTCTTGTCCTCCAACTTATATTAACTAGACTTAAACATCAGTTGACAACAATTGATAAGCAACAAAGATTTTACACGTAATGTCGATATTTCACCTATTTATACTCTTAACAATTAATTTCTCATAAAATACTTCTCTGTTGCTTAAAGCATATACTGATGTGATTGAATTTTTATTATTTTTCCTAACTATATGAAAATTACATCATACCCTTTATATCATTAATTATTACTATTTTTTAAATAAATATTAAATAATATTTATTGGAAGTTTTATTGATGAAAGAATTTAACTGCCTTGTTCAGTGTAATAATCTCTCGATGCTGCCTTTATTCTCAAGTTACCTTTTTTTTTTCCTTCTTGTCCTCCATAACCCTAGAATTCGTCATACAAATTCTGGTTAACTATTAAAAATAGGATAAATTTCCGCCCCTAGATAAAATCAAATTACGAAAAAACTCATAATATTTGGATAACTACAAACCACTCTCCTCAACTATGAATTTTCTTATTCGTTCAGGGGCGGAATCGATCAGGATGAAAATGTAGGGGGGGGGCTAGCTAAAATTTCGAGGTTCGGGGCAGCGCCCCGAAAAAATTTTTAGGTCAAGACATTGCAAAAATAAGTTTATATTGATATGTTTTAATCAAAATGTCAAATATATTATAATTTTATCGTATTTTAAACTTGACAAAAAAATCTAAATTAATTCAAATTATTCTAATAATGTATCGTATTTAGTATATTGGGGATTCATGGCATCGTCTCATATTAATTTTTAGAGTTATTGATAAAAAAAAATCAAAAATATGTAATTATTCATAAATTTTATTTCAAATAATACAAGTTTTCACCATTTTATTTTATATTTTTATATTAAATTGATATATATATATAATTATAATTATGGAGAAGAAAAAAAATTAAGGATTAAGATACATATTTGCAAAAACTTTAGGGGCCAAAAGTAATATTCAAAAAATACAGTGCCAAAATACCTAATTTTTTTTTTTCATCTTGGGGGTCAACAGCCCCCCTAGCCCCTTGTAAGTTCCGCCTATGTATACGTTCATTTTTATGGTGTTAAATTAAACATAATCTTCTAGATTTCGTAGAATGTTCTCTAATTTGTATTCGTTTGTGCAGAAGTACAGTTTCTGGTGTACCATAATTTGATATTTATAAGCCAAGAGACACATCTTATGATCATCTTATTTTAAAATGTGGAGCTCAAATGAAATAAAACGGGTAAAAACTGGAGAATATTCTACATAATCTAGAAATTTCCATTAATTCAGCACCGCAAGAACGGGGGTGGTTATAATTACCTAAACATTATGGTTTTTTTGTAATTTTACCTTACCTTAGGGTGACCGTAATTTACCCTATTATAAATGGACTATCTTTATCTATGTAATCAACGTGCATGTTAAGAACAATCTTAAGTTCAAATTAACAAAATCAAATAATATTTATTATTATTATTATTCAAATAATTGCAATAATGTTGACCTAGAAAAGTAACAAGTTGAAATCTTCTTTTGAGGATTAAATTTATGAGATACAGATAGGAGCTCTACCAGATTTTCATTTAGGTTGTTGTGAGTTAAGAATATGTCAGCGTAAATAAATCTGTTGAAAATCAATTAAATATTCAATCAAATCATTATTTATTTATTTATGTTGCTGTAATTTGTAGATATATATAAAGAAAGGTTGTTGAAAGAACCACTAACAAGTAGGTGATGAGTGTTGACATAATTTTCGTTATATAGATTTCAGTCAAATTAATATGGGGAATTGGGGATTAGTTAAGTAGGGACCCTTCTCTCAAGCTTCTAAGCCACCTTGTATTACAATTTAGGGAAAATTACGTTCACACCCCAAAGTAATGTCAAATTACGAAAACTCCCTTCTGTTTGAGTGATTATAAGTATCTCCTTCAACCGTGTACTTTCTTACGAAAAAAATCCTAATTCAGTTGGTATGGACTTGTAAGACAATAACATAGTTGAGTGGATTGTAATTGGAGGGTAACTTACAATCATCCCCTAAGGTAAGGTCTATTAACGAAACCCACCCCCCCCCCCCCCCCCCCCCCCCCCCCCCCCCCTTATTTTTTTCCATAATTACATCAACCCCCTTGTAATTTGTAGATTTCTTACACTAACACCCCTTTGTAAGGGGTAGATGTAAAATTACAAACTATAGGGTCCCGGATATAATTTCTCATAAATAAGGGTTTTTTCGTAATTACACTTTACCTCGGGGAATATTAGAAAAATAACAATCGACCTGTTCTTTTTGCTGATTGGTCCAAAACTCATAAAAAATTTTACCTTTCGCTTTTGTCTCGTAACCAAAAAGTCACATTTTCTAGGTCAAAGAAATTAGTATAAATCATAAGTGCAATCTAAAATGGCCCAAATATCACTATCACCAGATAAGGACAATTTAGTCAATTCACTCCACTCACATCTGCCTGCCATTAAACTCAGTCTGCCTCTGTCACCATTCATGTGTCCCGATTCCAAAATGCGCACCCGACCCGGTACAGTGGCACATCACGTAAATTACACATCTGTCCATGGGCATTTTCGTCAATTCAAATTCCCCATCAAAAAGATTAATTTAATAATTAATCTGGCTGACTGATAATTACTCAACAAGATAAAATGAGCTATAATCTTAATTTATCATTTAATTTGATTTAATTAATGTCACGTTATCAATACAAGATTTCCGATACTAGATACACTATTTATGCTGAGCTGTTAATTATGATTCTAAATAAAGAAATTATCTAAATATTAGTAGGTAGCAAATTTAGCCAGTTAATTCTGCTTAAGCATATTTCTTAATTTAGCCGACATATTATATTCGTGTTTATTATTTGTTTATTTGGACTGGTTTCTCTCTCTGAAGCTTCGAATCTAAGAAGAGTGTTTATAACGATGGTGACACCTACCGCACAGGATCGCACCTCCTTCTTCTTCTCCTCCTCTTCTTCCTCCTCTGCTCCAACAATGCGCGCTTAGGTTAAACTGTGCGTTCGCGAATCAGCACTTTAATACTCAACTGTATACTCATTACTCACCGTACACCAGCGCAATGGAGGGGCGAGTAGCCGCCAGCTCTCTGTTCTTCACTCAGCTTGTGGTGATCGCGGCGGCGATTTTCAGTTTACGCGCCGTCGTTGATGCTGCTACCGATCCTTCTGACGGTGCGCATTTCACATTTTTTTCTACTTGCGTTTTTTTTTTTTTTTTTTTTACTTTATTGTTTTCGGCTGGTATTAGCTTGATTTGATGTATGAGCAGCTTGAATTTGAAGAAATAAATTGGAAAATGAGTTGTTATTTTCTCTTCAATTATCGATTTGGGGATTCCAGGTTTTTATTTTAAATTATTAGATTGTGAAGGAGAATGCTATGAGGTTTTACTTGGTGGAACATATTTGGATGAAAATCCATAATCGCAATTTTTGGAGCTAATTTTCGGAAAAAAGTTTTAATCCATGGACTAATTTTTGGAGCTTCTACTTTGGTGAGGAAGGGATGAAGAAATTATCTATCACTAATTTATACATCTAGTTCGTTTCATCATTTGTAATGGATTGTGTGAGACTGTATAATCATTAAAAATATTATTTATTTTGTCGAAAGGAAAATAATGCTTATGAATTTGATTTGCTATATTTTTCCTTTTACTCACCAAAATCATAGATCCGAACATCATGCAAATGTTTGGCCAGGATTTGAAGAAAATCGAAGATCGAGAAGTGCATGTATAGAAAAACAATCTACCTAATTCTGTCGTGAATGTGAATTATTTATATACTTGTTTTAGGCAGGATTGAGAAACGTGTGAAGATATTTTGTTATATAGCTGTAAATGTTTACTGAAGTTAGTATCTGTTTTCTGAATGTTTGAGTTGCATTTGCCTACTGTGTTGCAGTTCAAGGGCTACAAGTTTTGTACACGTCTTTGAATAGTCCTTCACAGCTAACAGGCTGGAAATCGAGTGGTGGCGATCCATGTGGAGAATCATGGAAGGGTATCACTTGTCAAGGTTCTTCAGTTGTCTCTATGTGAGTATTACTTTCCTTAAACTTTGTTAATGTAATAGTTATTACATGTACCTGGAAATCTTAATCTACGAGTTTTCAGGCTCATGAGAAACTTTTCTTGATTGTTGAACAGCCAGATATCTGGTTTGGGAATCACTGGTTCAATGGGATACTTGCTCAGCAACCTTGCATCACTCAAGACATTGTAAGATAGCTACTTATTAAATTGGATCTATAAGTTTTTGTGCTATTCGCTTTCGTTTTGTGGTAAATCTTTTGTTCATTTCCATTTTATGGTGCAGGGATATGAGTAACAATAACATTCACGATTCGATTCCATATCAGTTGCCGCCAAATCTTACGAGCCTGTAATGTTAAATTATTTGACTTCTCATAGGAGCTATAGTACTTGTTCTAAATGATTAAAGTTCTGATAAGTTTTCTATCTTGGCAGAAACCTTGCGGGCAACAATTTTACTGGGAACATTCCTTACTCGATAGCTACTATGGGCTCACTTAATTATCTGTAAGTGGACTGTTTGCATTATCTATCCTAAGTGGTTTTCGTCATTTTTTCTTATGTCGAGATGTATTATTCATGGTTCTTAGGAACATCAGCCGAAACATGTTATCTCAGGGAATTGGAGATATGTTTGCCAATCATTCTGCACTAGCAACTTTGTGAGTTTCTGTGTTTTATTTTTCTGTGAATGCCAATTCCTTTTTTAATGATTCTAAGTAGCACACAACTTCTATTTTTAGTTCTGTTTTGTATGCATAAAATCTACTTGTTTAAGAACACAAGGCAATTTCAGGGATCTATCATCAAACAGTTTTACTGGGGATTTGCCACCGTCCTTCACATCTTTGTCCAATCTTTCAACTCTGTGAGTATGACAATTGTTAATTAATAAAGCACTTCCGTTTTCGTTTTTTTTCTTTCCCTTTGCATTGCTATGGACTTTATATTCACATACTTTTTTGGCAGTCAAGTACAGAACAATCAACTTACAGGCTCTCTCAACGTCCTCGTCGGTTTGCCTTTGACAAATTTGTAAGTGTCCAGCTCCACTAATGAAAGATATATTGGGTTTTATTTTTCATCAATATAATTCTTATTCGTATTACATTCTGCAGAAATGTTGCAAACAACCACTTCAGCGGGTGGATCCCACAAGAACTAATTTCCATACCCAATTTCAAGTAAGTGATTGCAGTTATTTACTAAAAGTACCTCTCATAATTTAATTTCTTACTATTGTTAATTATTTCACCTAAAATTTTCATAAACCAGAAATGATGGAAACACATTTGCCAATGGCCCCGCCCCTCCTCCACCACCATATACCTCACCGCCACCTGGCAGATCTCGTAATAGCAGTAGGCAAGCTCCTCCGAGTGGTCATACACCTGACTCCAATGTCAATAGAAATTCTCATAGTGAAGACAAGAATGTATTGACAACAGGGCCTATAGTAGGCATAGTTATAGGAGCTCTGTTTGTAGTAATCTTGTTGCTGTTCGCACTATTTTTTTGCCTTAGAAGGAAAAACAAGAAGGAAGTTGCTGCACGACCCTCTACAGGAAGACTTCCTGTTATCACCGAAAAAGGTTGTTTTCGACTCTTATGAACATCTTCGTTCGCATAGATTTTGGTAAATTGGGTACATTCCTCTGTTTAATCCGTCATCTTAGACTGTGTTTTTCTGTCTAGTGGATTTGGAGATGCAAGAGCAAAGGCCAAAGCCTGCAACTAGTGCACTTGATTTAAAACCACCACCTGCCGAAAATGTAACTGTGGAAAGATTACAAGGGAAAAACGGATCTATAAGGAGAATGAAGTCTCCAATAACCGCTACTTCTTACACTGTCGCTTCTCTTCAGACAGCAACCAATAGCTTTAGCCAAGAGAATCTTGTCGGTGAAGGCTCCCTTGGTCGTGTTTATAGATCAGAGTTCTCCAATGGGAAGGTAATGAAATCCTTGTTTTCTTTTTTTCAGTACAAGTTGCAAAAGGTTTGAATGTAATAAATTTATGTTTTTTGTTTGTTATGTTGAGATTTTTCAGATTATGGCAATAAAAAAGGTGGACAATGCAGCGGTGTCATTACAGGAGGAAGATAATTTCCTCGAAGTCATTTCGAATATGTCTCGATTGAGACATCCAAATATCGTGGCACTGGCTGGATACTGTGCCGAGCATGGTCAACGCCTCCTTGTTCACGATTACATTGGAAATGGTAGCTTGCATGATATGCTGCACTTTGCCGACGAGAGAAGCAAAATGCTGACGTGGAATGCACGTGTTAGGGTGGCACTCGGCACTGCTCGAGCTTTGGAGTATGTTCAATTTAATCATTTTTTTTTTGTACAGCCACGATCTATCTATCACTCTTGATGACTGAGTGATAAAATCAATTTTATCTCAACTTAGGTACTTGCACGAAGTGTGTTTGCCTTCCGTTGTACATAGAAACTTAAAGTCGGCAAACATTTTACTTGATGAAGATCTCAATCCCCACCTTTCAGACTCTGGACTAGCTGCTTTGGCACCTAACACTGAACGACAGGTAAAATTAAACAAACATCAGTTCCTTTTTTCTCGTAATACACCCCACAAAAACATTTGACTCTGATGTCATAAGATCACAATTTTGCATGGTAATGTTGACAGGTATCATCAACACAGATGATAGGCTCATTTGGCTACAGTGCACCTGAATTCGCCTTGTCTGGAATATACACTGTAAAAAGCGATGTATACAGCTTTGGTGTGGTTATGCTGGAGCTTCTCACTGGACGGAAACCACTCGATAGGTATATATATCTTATTTTTTCCGATTTTCATATAATGACAATATATATAGTGTACAGTGTATATACATTATATTATATTTTATTGCCATGATCAGTTCGAGAGCGAGATCGGAACAGTCACTTGTGAGATGGGCCAGTCCTCAACTCCACGATATCGATGCTTTAGCAAAGATGGTGGACCCCACCCTAGACGGCATGTATCCTGCAAAGTCTTTGAGCCGTTTTGCTGACATTATTGCCCTCTGTGTCCAGGTATTATTCACCTCAAAATTTACCATCAAATTATAAAAATATACTAGACTAGATTCGAGTAAAAATATTTCTTTTTTGTATAGCCTGAACCGGAATTTCGACCACCGATGTCTGAAGTAGTACAAGCGTTGGTCCGTTTGATGCAAAGGGCGAGTGTTGTAAAAAGACGATCGAACGAGGAATCGGGTTTTGCATTCAAGACTCAAGATCATGAAGCAGGTGACATGTTGTAATAATAATAATAGCAGGTGTATCCAATTCCAGGCTTAATTTGGTCACTGGCCTTTGCAATTTTTGCATGTACACAATTGTGCAAAGGTAAACAAACAATCCCGGCTATAAAAACAAAAAGAATTGAAGGCAAAAAAATGATACGTTCATAATAATTAAAACGAATGCGAAAGAAATGTAATTACGTTGATTACTACTACGTGAGAAAGTTACTAATCGTTTACTATTTGAGGTATCTAATTTTACTGTCGATTATTTCATTAATTTCTATTTTGCAGATAATTTTGTTTTAAAGAAAAATAATTATTAGAAAATACTCAAAAAGTTGTACAAGTGTAGAAATTGGAACAAAATTTTCGATTTCTGCTGATTCTGATCCGAAATTTTCCGATTTTGGAACAATCTTTTTCAATCTGAATATTGAAATTCCGGGTTCGGATTTTTCCGAAATTATTTGGATCAGAAGCCCACATGAAAATTAATGATTAAGACAAAATTACAGAAGATCTCAAACACAAGCAAATATACAAAACAGACTATAACTTCACCACCATCACCGTAATTATATATACACAATAGAAAACAACAGCTGCATAAAATCAACATGCATGCCCATACACGTACACCAATTAGCACCACTCACGTGCGTATTATTCTTGAATTTAACTTTCAACCTTTATTTAATCAATTTTGCACTAAATGAAGTAGATAAATTTTGTTTACAGGTAATTTTTGGATCCAAAAAAAAATTATATATTTTTTTGGAATCACCACAAAAATTAGAATCATATCAGAAATTGAAATTTTATTCCAACTTTCACCCCTAATCCATCACTTGACCAATCGTGGCTTCAGGATTACTGTAATAAAAAATATTTAAAAAAACAAAGAAAATAATGTGGAAAATATTGGCCATTCTCAACCTAAAATTAAATATGAACTACTACCAACACAGAGGGACGAATACAACATAGTTTCATACACATAGTTAACATGTGAGTAATTAAGTTAACATGATTAATCTCTTTACCAAGCAAGAACTGCGTACAACATAGTTTCATACACACAAACTAATGACTATACTTACAAAAAGGCCACTAGTCTAAGCAGAGGGAATCAGTTTTCTGCTCTGTACATTACTCGATAAATATCAGCGGCATTGAATACATACTGATACACATAAAGGATTAATATTACATTTCTGCATCAGAGCCTTCGAAATGGAAACCGGTTACTTCTTCTGCCTCTTCGGCTCTACCTGCAAGAGAGATGTGAATCCGATATTTTAGTCAAAAAGGGTCTTCAAAATTTCAATAAAATTTCCGACTATACTCTTTATCATTTTAAATATTAAAAAAATACCTAAACTATTATATACCATACTAGATTCGCTAATGGAAAAGACAACGAGCACTTTAGCCTTTACCTTAACATTAGTGAGAGGGGTTTTATGAGGCTTCTTTACATCCTCGTCAGATCCATGTTCGGAGCAAACAAAGTGAGCTAACTGTTTTGCCTGTTCTATTGTCAAATCTACACAAGCAGGATGGTACCTACACAAAAAAAAAAAACACAGACACACAGACAGTTCGTAAAAGGGCAATATCACAAACCACAACAATTATACGAGTACCATGGCTTTTTAACCATCCTTAAAGAAAGGCAATTACGCTATTCTAAATGTCAGTGTATCAAGAAACGACAACCAATTTCACTTATGTCACTTAGAAGGAATTAAGAGGCATCAATAGCGCTGAATTCTCCCAAACGAAAGAATAAGTTGTTTTTGAGTGAGGGGAGAAAAAAAAAACAGCTGGCAGTTGATTAGTGGATTGGGCCACAAAGATCCAAAAGACGAGATAATTACAATTACTAATACAACCACAACAATTTCGTAATAGAGGAAGGTAGCAATCCACATACCAGTCTTTGCACTCGTCACATTGTATCATCAGGTCGTCTGGATTATAGGGCATCTCACATTTGCAATATCTGTCAACGTATACGATCAAGAATCCATACCAAACAGATTATAGCAACGCACATTATTATGAAAAAAAAGAAACACAAATAAAAAATCATAATCTATATCCAGTGTACTACTACTCACACAGCCACTCGATCGGGCAGGAAAGCTCCAGAGGCAGGTTTGTACTCGAAACGACAGTAATAATCCTCCGCACCAACATTGTCCAGCTTAGTATAATTCTTGAAAGTGTGAACAACACACTTCCCCTCGATCGTGTGAGCACTCTGAGTGTCGAAGTGGTCGGACAAGAACAACTCTTTCGCTCCGTGAAACTGTCTCCGCCCGCCCACAGCTTCCTCTGGCCTGTAATACCACCTCACCCTAACAGTCAAACCGCTTCGATTGTCCGACTCAATTTTCTCCACACGTGCCACGTAAGGAGCTGAATTGCTCTCCGATGGTTTCATCAAGACACAGTCCCCAGCTTTCAATCCAACCAAGTACAACAATCAGAAAACGAATAGCTAAATTTTCGATAAGCCGTCATTGTTACATTATTATCTAAGAAATGAATAAAAGTACAAACATGCATGCACAAACATCAAAAACAAAGCTCCCAGCTACACTCTTAACAAAAAATAATTCCTTTACACAATAAGTTTAATAACAGTGCCATGTTTGGTACCTTTAACAACTTTGTTGGTGCCTCTAATGGTGTAAGAATCTACATCTCGTTTACCAGGTCTCGTTTTCGCCATGGATACTCAGTCAAAGCTTTCTCTCTCTACTTTCTCTGACTATGCTCGAAAAAATCCAGCGAGAAAAAAAAAATTCTTCGTTCCAGATAAATCGATTCAGGAAATAAAAATTTCTAGCTCGGATTAAACCATGGATAACAACATAAACTATCTGTAAACGAGTCGAAAATGAAGGTACATTGTCGAATCCGATTTCGAATAATCGATTTGAAAAAGAAGAAGAAAAAACCCTAGATTTTAGGGGTAGATGTTTGCGGTGAAACAAAACCCTAGAGGAGATTCGGTTTGTTGTTTTTTCACTGCTGTGTTTGGACTGAGGCTTTGGGTGATGGTATTTATTGCTGAGATTAATTAATTAACGTTTGTGTTTATGAATGTGAAAATCAGATGCTTAAGACTTAATTAAGGGTACTAATACTGTAATTAAGAATGTTGACTAATTCTTACACTTGTTTGTTGCTGTTTCGGTGATACAATGTACTCTTTTTTTTTTTTTTCAAAATAAATATCTGGAATTGTTATTTTAGTATTTATACAAATTTGAACGTTCTAGTAAAATTTCATTTTTAATGTTTTAACTTTTAAATCACATTGATTGTTAAAATAAATAAATAAAATAAAATAAAAAAACCAGCCCACTTGCAGTTTGGGCCCGGACACACTAATACTGAAGAATGTTAAATACTAAGAGCCCATTATAAAGTTATAAATTAAATAAGCTAAAAATGATTTTTTATGTTGATATGATATTTAACTATTTTTGAAAAAAAATAAAATTAAGTGTAGTAAAATAATTTAAAGAAATATGTTTATGAATGTTTCAATTTTTTGCCCCGTTAATATATTAATTTAACAAAAAATTCTATTTTTGTGAATAAATATAATTTTTAAATTGAGATAGTAAAAATTTCAAGTATTTTTATATACATATAAAATATATAAATAGAGAATAATTTATTCTGTAATAATTATGATAATTATTGTATTTATTACTATAAATATTAATTACAAGAATATGTTACTAAAATAAAATCAGCATAAAAAGGACAACATGAAAATAAAATCATCTAGGCACAATCAATAAATATGAAACAAGAATTAACCAAAGACAAAGCAAAAAGACTTCACCAAAACATATAAATAATACAACAATTATCCAGGTTATATAATTAATTACCAACAATACCACTCTTAAACATATCAAAATATATATAAATAGAGACACTTAATAAATGTCTCATTAAATCCACTAAAATATATATAAAATACTAAAATAAAAGTTAGTTTCGATAAAACCCTCATAAGGAAATTTAGTTTCAAAGAAGCCCCTGGGAAATATCCATGGGGAAAGGATTCCCTAAAACGCTGTCCATATAGTAATGTGGATGTGCAGCATCCATCACCACAAACTGCATATCTTCAGAAGGTTTCCAGTGCCTCTTTCTTTGGTTAATAAACCAATTGTTTATCTGTTTTTGATCCAAACCCGTCGCTTCAGCCAACGCCAGCTTCTGCGATTCCTACATTCAATAAAATTTAATTAAATTAAACGTCATTCTTGACCGAGATATTGAAGTTTATAAAATCTTGTACGTCATCGAAATTCATCAGGAATATTACGGAGACTATGTTATATGAATTTATTGCATTCCGTACCTCTTTGTCGTATCGAGTTGCTAATTAAAACTTCTTCAATTGCATTTTATTTAGTTTGCTAAAAAAAATTGAATAGTAAGATGGTTTTTGCTAATAAAATAACACGAGGGGTTAGGGGTGGAAATTGGTAAAAAAAAATGAACTGATGCGTCGATTTTGATCCAAAATTTTCCAATTTTGGAACAATATTTTTTGTTCAGAAGTTCCGAGTCCTTTTCCTCCAATTCTCGTTTTGGAACGGAATTGGAATACATACACGATTCCCATTTAAAATCTGACTTCAATTTCCAAAAATTCCGATTATTTTCAAAAACATTAACTCATAATATGAATATTATTATCTATTTAGTATTATAGGTGACTAAAACATTGGAATTTACAAATTCCATCAATTCCAATCCGAAATTTTTTTTATTTCAAAACAAGTTTTTCATTCCAATTTTTGAAATTCTAATTCCTCAGTTTTCAAAAAAAAATTGGAACGGAATTAGAATTGGTTTTCTACTTCAAAATTTTCCGAAAGGGCTAATTACGATTCGATCCGTCTGATCTCCAAACCCTAATGTGGATCTTTTTAGCAATTTGAGAAACACACGGGAGGTTACAAATGCAATAAACCCTAAATTATACGATTTAAAATAATGCGTACGTACCGATGGATAAGGCCATTTGTAGTGACGGCTCCACCAGTCGAGCAATTGTTGCCTCGCTTCTTTAGGAAGTTTCCCTTTCTTTCGTTTCTTCATGAATTCTTGTTTAAGGCTGCCTAAATATCCACTATACTTACGTAAGAGCTGTCCTTTAAGTTCCCTGTCTTCGGCTTGTGGATCGATGAAGCTGCTATTATTGTTCACATCAACTTCTTCTTCGGATGAACCGTTTCTTTCCATCGCTTCACCACAAGCTGTACGTGGAATAATAAATAAAAAATAAAAATAAAAAGACCATAGCATATACTTTATGGAAAATTGATTTAATGCAATCGTCGTCTAAAATGCTTAATCGAAACATCAAATAAAATTACGTAACAAATCTTCTTCGGATGACCAAAAACTTCTTAGGTAACGGAAGCTGCCAAACAATCGTTTCTTCGCAAAAATGTTTCGATATTTTTTTGCTAGAAATGCACAATACAAGAAACGATATATCTAACTTCTAAGTGATTAATTAAGATAAATTTAATTCGACTTAAATGCCTTAAGAGAAACACAAACAAGATTCTTGAATATGTTTGAAACACCGGCAAAGAAGCGAATTTATCCGAATCAATTTTAACCAATTTATAAATCGAATTAGGTCTTCCGTTTTTCATTCAAGCAGACATATATTTTTACAAGAAGTATGTAGTTATTGCAGTTTAATTTAGTATCATATTTCACATGTGTGCTTGTACAGGAAAACACACACACACACACACGCACACACAGAGACACACATAAACTGTTGGAAAATCACACAACCATGGTAGACAACAAAAAATATGCAGACACACAAAACTATATAACACACACTTCTGTTTGAACTGTGGTACAAAATTAAACCTAACTAGAGTATTTATTAAATTAAATTATTAAAAAATATATATATATGGATTCATCACGCGGATAACAGTAACATTAATTAAAGAAACAGCAAACAGAATCCCAAAGGGGTTCCAGAAAAGGAGACAGAAACAAGAAATAAAAACACATGATTAATTAATGTAATGTATAGATACATACATACAATATATACATATATAAATGTGGAAGAAAGAGAAAGCCATAAAACAATGGAAGAACTGCATCTGGAAAGAAAAACAAACAACTCTTTGTTTTACCTAGTAATAAACAAATCACCATTTTCTTGGAAACATGCACATGCAGGAATTCATTAAATATATTTAACCCAAAAATTCAAGACAGTAATCTATTTCAAAAACAGTAAGATCTGTGCGCAGAGTATATATATATATTATGAAACGAGATAATACACAGTAGAGAGAGAAAGAGAGGAGAGAGAGAGAGTAGAGAGAGAAACCAGGAGCAGAGAGAGAGAGGGATTTGAACTGAGACTCAATCCTGGAGAGAAACACCATGGCTTCCTTAAAGGGTTTGGAGAGTTCTTGTTCGTACTTGCTCAGCATCTCACAGTAAGCCTCCATGAACTGATCAAGCGCCGGATCTTCTCCCACGCAGCTCGTCCCGCCGCCGTGCCGCCCCATCGCCGCCGCCGACGCGCACGCTTCCTCCAGCTTCACCACCACCTCCGGCGGCGCTCCTATCTGCACCAAAAAAAAAACCCTCGAAAAGGTCAAAACTCGGAACCCTTTTTTTTTCTTCTTAATTTTCGAAGATTTTAAGGTTTAAAAAAACCTTTTGGCAGTTGGCGTAAGCAGACAAGAGGCGGTGGTAGTGTGGGTGAGCCATGATCTTGTCCTTTGTAGAACAGCCGCCGCCGCCTCCATTAATTCCATCATCGTTGTTATTATTATTATTGCTCTCCATAAAATAATAGCCAGTGCTCGTTATATTATTGTTGCCCCCGCCGCCATTGTTGTGGTGTTCTTCAAGCATCATAGAAGAACCACCACCGCCGCCGCCACCGCCGCCGTGGTGGTGGTTAGAGGAAGACGGTATAAGAGGAAGGAAAAGGTTGTTATTCCGACCGTCTGTAGTATGATGATGATTATTATGAGGAGGCATCATTAACATAGGGCAAAACCCATCATTGTTTCCTCCAAAAGCCATCATACAAGAATTGCTATTACCACCACCACCACCACCACCCTCCATTTTTTCCTCGCTCTCTCTCTCTACTTTCTCTCTCTAACTCTCTCTCTCTCTCTCTCTCTCTCTTGTATATTTCTTGGATGGAAGGAGCTACACTAATACTACACTTGATAAACCCTTGAACAATAATATTCAGTCATATAAAATATAAAATGATATGATTCACCACCACTTGTCTCTTTCTCTCTCTCTAGTTTCTCTCTCTAAGCAGTCTCTCTCTCTCTAAGTAGTTTCTCTCTCTAAGGTGTTAGGGTTGTACACACGCATAAGCAATCTTTTTGCTTCTTTAAGGGTGTAAGCTTTGCAGGGGCCTCCCGAGTTTTGTGCTAACTGGTTCAGCCTTTTTACAGAAAATCCTAAATATATATTTCGCTGTTTGTTTGTGTTTACTAGTGTGTGTGTGTGTGTAGAGTCTGCAGTCAGTTTTTGGTGAAGGCCTCTTTTGCTCTCTGGTCTCGCAAATAAAGTAAAGTAAACTGGATCTCAATTAATTAATGTTTCATTAACAACAAAAACAAAAACAAAATCTTTTCCAAGGTATGAAAAGAAACCGCAAACGAGGAGGAGAGAGAAAGTTTCTGCAGAGTGCAGAGAGAGAGAGTGCGTGTTGTGTGTGTTTTGAGTGTGTATGGCAACTTAATCAAAAGGGTTTTTTTTTCTCTTTTCTTTTTGTTGATTAAAACTAATAATTAATAGGGGATGAGGGTTTTGGATTTGGTTTTGGTTTTGGTTTTGGTTATGTATGGTTTACCTTCCCAAGGAAAACTCTCGCTCTCTTTTCTTGCACTGCCACTGAAACACTGCCATTACTACTGGCATAAACTAGAGAGAGAAACTGGAGGGAGATTCTTTTGTTTTTTCTTTCTTTTCTTTTTTTCTTAGAGAGAGAGAGAGAGAGAGAGTAGGGTTAGTTTAATTAATAGAGAAAAAAAGAAAAGTAATATATATATTAGTGATGAACGATCAAATCGAGGTGTGTATTATATATTATGTATGTATGTGATGAAGATGGGGGTTGGGTTTTGGGGCACGGAATCACAATTCCAGTGTTAAATTTTGAGCTATTTTTCTTATTCTTCCTTCCCCTATTCATTTCATTTGTCCTCTTTCTTTCTTTTCTTTTTTTTTTTTTCTTTTGCCCTACCAAAATTTACCCTACCCATTCTATCCTCATCAACACTCTTCACCTAACCTAGCTTATGTTTTTTCTAGCTCCCCCAAGAAAAAAAAATTAATAACAAAAAAGAATTAACATTTTATTGTTTCACTTAAGGGATGTGATAAATGTTGCTTTAATTTTATATGATAATATTGTTTCGCCTTCTAATGTGATTTTAACAATTTTTTAGGCTTCGGTTCTGCAAAACTCAATTATGAAATTTGTAGTTGTTCGACTTAGTTTTCTAATACAATTTGAATCAACCAGATTGGATGTCTGGTGCGAAAGATATGCATGAATCGATGAACAGTGTCTGCAACTTTGATGTTTTGAGATATTTAAAATTCGAAATGTAACTCATTGATGCATGATTTTGTTAACCGACATCCAATTTAACTGAATTAAGTTGGATTACAAGACAATTTCAAGGGAGTACAGTTTCATCCTGTTGAATTTCGCTGAAATCACACTAGAAAATAGTCAAAATCCCGTTCACAAGCGAAACGAGTAACATTTGAGTTTTGATAAAATGTTATTGAAACAAAGTTATTAATTTATCGAGCTTCTAATATACACGAAAGAAAACAGCCAATTGGATCTTTTGTAGAATTATGTTGTGCAGGATGGCCACATGAACAGAATTATGAACAATGAAATATTTAACCCATCTGTTATTGACAGCAAATAATCAGATATGACTTGTCTCATTCCAATTTACACAGTTAAAATACCTTCATATAAACATTGTAAATTCCTGTTTCTTCATTTTTAGTCTCACAAACTGGATTAATGGAATTTCCAAATTCAGTTTAATTTTTATTTTAAAAAATACTATTATTTCCGAATTACGGGTTGTAACGAATTAAAATTAATTTTTCACCATCGAAAAAAAATGAATTTGAACTTTTTTAGGGTAAAATACTATATTTGATTCTACCACTTTTCACACCTATTGGCTATTACTATGTGAAATTAACAAATTAAAAGGTGATTGTTATTTCCGAATTACGGGTTGTAACGAATTAAAACTAATTTTTCACCGTCGAAAAAAAATGAATTTGAACTTTTTTAGGGTAAAATACTATATTTGATTCTACCACTTTTCACACCTATTACTATGTGAAATTAACAAATTCAAACGTGAGCCAAGCCATATCAATTTAAATTAATTTTTTTTTTGTTATTTTTTGTAGTGTAAATTAAATTTAAGGAGCATATATTTAGTTTATTTACTGGAAAAAAAAGTATTTTTCTTGATTTAACAGGTGAATTACTTTGTTCAAAAGATTGAATAGACTATTAAACTGTTGAACATAGTAAGGACGAGCTAGAAGAATTATTTAATTTATTTAAAGTTAATGATTTGATTTGATTTCGAGGGGCAGTCCAAATGTCTCTTCTGTCTATTCAAAAAAAAATTTAAATAAATAAAATACATATAAATATATATATGTATAAATTGTTAGTATAAATTGATGGCATGTAAAATTATTGTAAATGAATAAATGTTTTTTTACCTGTCAGTTCCTTTCAAGAACATTCTGACCCTTTAATGTGACTTGTTTATACTAACCTTATTAATTTCATTTTTCAATAGTTGAAATTAAATTAAATTAAATGCTCATCATTTAACTGTTAAAAGAAAAAAAAAAAAAAAAAAAACCCTATTGCAATATGCCTGATATACATTATATGTTGAGTTAAATAATTTATCAACTTTCTATTTTATTCTATTATCTATTATAATTATTTAAAATTATGTGACATGATCAAGAATCAAAGACTATTAGTAAGTACAAAAAATCTTTGATTAAGGCACTTTCAGACAGTAAGAATATAGCTAATAGTAGCCTGTCTTAGTCTCCAAGGTTAGGGTTTCAAGTAATATTTGAATTAGGGTTACAGCCTCTGTTATAACAAACAACATATATTTAATCATGAAAATGATTTTTTTTTAAATTAAAAAAAGGGGGATGACGCCAGCATCTATGTAATAAAAGTATAAAAGATTTTTTACAGCTAATTTGTAATAATAATAATAATTATTGTATTTGTAATAGGCCTTAGGGCAAAGAAATATTGTAGGAAGCTAGGGTTCTTCCAAGATAGCTTTTCCTGAGTAGTATTTGCTTTAAGTCTTGTCCATCACCAGTGCCTACACTTAACCCCTATGATTTAAATTTATAATGAGACGATAAATATATAATTTAAAATTCAATAAAAACCCTAAAAATAAAAAGGGTCAGACTTTTGTAAAATTCTTATTGTTTTATCTTGAAAAGAGTTCAATGAAAATTATTGGTGTCATAATTATTAATGGACAAAACAATATATTGATCTCATAAATTTATCCTATCATCTTAATTAAAATAAAATAAATTATTTTTTGTATTATATTAGGGGAAATTACCGTCTCACCCGCGAGGTCAAATTAAGGAAAAACCTCTCACGTTTCAAGAATTACAATTTGACCGTCAACTAGTAATCTTCTTACACGTTCATTCATGCACTATTCAATTTAGTGCTATCTTCTAGACTCTGTGAAATATTTTTCAGTTTGTACATATTTTACCCCATTTGAACTCCATATTTTGAAATATCATATTGTGTGCATCATAAACTGCATTTTGCACAAAAAACGAATACAAACTAGAAAACATTTCACGGAATGTATAAAATTATGTTGAATTTAACAGCATGAAAGTGAACGTGCAAGAAATATCATAATTAATGGGTAGCTTGTAATTATCCAAACATATATGATTTTTTTCATAATTTGAATTTTTTTAGGGGAAGGGAATTAGTAAATTGACCTTACATTATAAATGATAAAACTAACCTTAATTATTTAATAATGTGATAAGAGAGAGTTAATACTTATAGTTGAATTAATAAGGTTAAAACATGAAAAAATGCATTTCTAAAGTGACAGAAAATATGAAACAAAAATATTTAAAAAAAAAGACAGTCATTATGGAACAGATTGAGTATATATAAGAGATTTATTAATAAATTATTCTGGTGGAATATTTGCTTTTATGGAGGGCCTCCCTCCAATCATAAGCAGCCAAGTTTTAAAACATGATAATTAATATATCTTGTTACACTTTTAATTAAATAATTTAATTAACCCCACTTAATTAGTTCCCCTTTTATGTGTCAACCGTTCGTGCTGTCATAAAGTGGGTTCATTTCCCTTTTCATAATTATGTTTAACGAGTTTATTCCACATCAAACCCCAACCCCCCTAAAATTATTATTACTAAACAATTTGAGGGCCTTTTTGAGATTAATAAATTAGTTTGTTAAGATAAAGTCTTGCCAAAGTACAATCCAATGTATTATAACAAGCATTCAGAATCGAAACCGAGAGAGACACACGAATGAATACCGTAAGTCACTGCCACGTGTTCGATATAGTAAATGAGTAGAAATTTGTGCTATGTCCTTGAGGTAACTTTTATTTATGAAACCCCCTCATTTTCCCATAATTACATCCACCCTCTTACACTTTGTAGATTTCTTACACTAACACGCTTTTGTAGAGGGTGAATGCAAAAAATTTAAAAACTATGGGGGACTGGATTTAATTACTAAAAAATGAGAGGTTTTTCGTAAATAGTCATTACATGGGAAGGTGATTGTAATTTTATCCTATATTATGTTGGAGGGGAAAAAAAAGGAAATCTAAAGCTATGATGATTTTATTTTCTTTTTTATGAAAAAAAAAATGCCAATTTCATCAAATAATAATGTAGTACTAGTCTATGTTGGGCTATTGATGGGATGAGTTTGCAAAATAAAAGAAAATTTTATGACTTTATAAAATGCAATGGTACAAGTTATATATTTATCCCATGACATGAAAAAAGACCATAGTATTCTTCTTTCTTTCTTTTTCACAAGACAAGACTCCTAAAACATACTCTACTCTCCCACTAGCCAATGTGCTTCTTCCCTTTTTACCATGTTGTTTTTTTCAAACCCCATATTCTCGGTCGGATCCTATCACTATCATATAAATTGAGGGACCCTTTTGTAAGAATTTTTTTAGGTTAGGTGAAATTACGAAAAAACCCCTCTTGTTTTGGTAGTTACAACTATCCGCCGACTATGAATAGTTTCTTACACGTCCATCATTATGGTGTCAAATTCAATATGATTTTGTACATTATGTTGAATGTTGTCTAGCTTCTACTCATTTTGTGCAAAAATTCAGTTTTTGACGCACCACAATCTGATATTTACAAGTTATGATCATCTTGTTTCAAAATGTGAAGACCAAATTAGGTAAAACGGGTACAAACTGAAGAAGAATCCACTAAGTTTGATAACGTAGTGGTGGACGTATAGGAAGATTCATAGTTGAGGGGCGGTAGTAATTACTCAAACATGAAGGGTTCTTTTGTAATTTTACCTTACTTTCGGGGGTGGCCGTAATTTTATCTAATTAAATAAAAAAAATGAAATCTTGAAGATAGCTACAATTGAGAGTATAACTTTTGGCCGACAACATATTGCTTTTTTCCTCATCTAATTCATGCCACTTTGAATGGTGAACAACTGTTTGCCCTTGTTGGATGCCTCACTATCCAATTATTCCATTTTATTTTCATTTTTATTTTTATTTTTTTCTATTGTAGCATGAATATTGTGAGGCAATGTATGTATATATGCCCTATATATATAGATAGATACAAAGTGAGAAATGGCAACCAAAATTCCTGGGTGGCTCGTGCATACACATGCACTACCACTACCACTAGTACTAGGGTTTGACTTTTTTTTTTTTTTGGTTGATAATTCACTAGGATTTGACTTTTAATTAAATATCAATATTTGGCTTAGGAAAGGGAAAACT